TGTGGAAAGCATGGCTGAAAGGGCTTAACAAACAGTAATTGCTACAATAGAGACTTGCTCCCCCCCAAGTCCAGCCTGGAACTTCTGTCATTGTCTACACGCAGATGAGGACAAATAAGACTGCAGAAGGTAAGCAGAATAGTTCTAAGCAATTACTGATGGGTCAGCAGATGGCTCTGCTGGTCAAGCTGCCTCCTGCCAAGCCCGAGGACCTGAGTTCAGTCCTTGGAACCCGCACAGTAGCAGGAGAGAACCGACTCCTGGGCTGCTGCTCCTCACACGTGACAGATTCACTTCTCTCCTGTAGACCCAGTCAGTTGTCACTGGTATACAGAAATTAAAGGAATTATACTTGACATCAAAATCAAGGATCACGCCTAAAAACGTTATGAAAGAAAGCAAGAAGGGAAGGAAGGAAGGAAGGAAGGAAGGAAGGAAGGAAGGAAGGAAGGAAGGAAGGAAGGAAGGAAAGAAAGGTGTGAGGCCAGGCTGGAGAAGGGCACAGGAGTGTGCTGGGAATGAGGAAGTCAAATGGCAAAAACCAAATATTCTTGGCTCCTTTATAAAGCTACTCTGTTCATTTACCCGGATGCCCCAAACAAAAGCAACTGCCCATTTCTCTGTTTCCGTTTCCTGAATCTAGCTGGATCACAGGCTGGCATCCATTGTCCCTGGCTCAGAGAACAATGTCCACTAGCATAAATCCGGTGCACAACCAAAGAGTTAGAGAAGAATACAAGACTACAAGACCGTCATCCACACCCAGTGACCCAGCACTGCACAGTCGCCATGGGCAGACCTGCAGACAGGAGGCAGCCAGTGCCTCTGCACTGCCACAGACTCCAGTTGGTCGAGAAACACAGTGTGTCGATTCACAGAGCATGATACTCGGTTTGTACCCGTGTCTCCTAACATTTGACATCACTTCACAGAGTCTGCAGTCACAACGTGGCCTGTGGTTCCAGGACATTAACAAAATAAGAAGTGCAGAGGCCAAAGCCATTCACAATGGGGAGCTGAGCTCTGTTCCAGATCCCAGCAGCCAGGACCATCTTTTCCTTGCATTTTGGGCACGCCTCAGAGGATGGCAGCTGCTAACTTAGGAGGGGAAAAGTGCACGGTGGAGGAGGTAAAAGGATTATTTTTAAGAAAGAGCACAATCTAACTTTTCTCTCCACCACCCACTCCATGCCACCTCCTCATTCCCGTGTCTCTCCTCCTGCCTTCACTCTGCTCCCCAGCCTGCTCTCCCTGTTACTCAGTGTGGCACAATCTCACTCTCTCTCTCTCTCTCTCTCTCTCTCTCACCGCACACACACACACACACACACACACGTTTCTTACCCAGTATCCCCAGCTGGGATACCAGTTCTGACACCACACTGGGAACAGAAGTCAGGTAAAGACATGGGGCTGCTGAGCTAAGGGGGGGGGGGTTGATGCTAGCCATCCTCACAGTTCTAAATGTGTAAGGATCAAACATATACCAACTTTTTTTTTTTTTTGGTTTTTCGAGACAGGGTTTCTCTGTATTGTTTTGGAAGCTATCGGTCCAGCCCAGCCTCGAACTCACAGAGATCCGCCTGCCTCTGCCTCCCGAGTGCTGGGATTAAAGGCGTGCGCCACCACCGCCTGGCATCAAACATATACCAACTTTTAAGAAACCCTATCTTGATGCCACTTGATGCCAGAAGTGATGGAAGCAAGAGAGAAAACTCACTCTATTCTAAGCTAAATGAACCTGTTAATTACGACATCTTCCCAATATGCTTACATACTGGAAAATTTTTTGGCTGATTCACTTTAAAACTGATTTTGAATAGTCCATTCTGGGCTTCTTGACAGTGGCTTCTAAGCAGAGTTGCCTGACTCCTGTGTGCAAGGATGAGCATCCATTAATATATATGATGAGTTATGTACCCTGTGCATTAATTTCTTCCCATCACCTACAGCCAACAGACAAGACTACACACTTGGGAGTCATCTACCCAGAACAAAACATCATTTTGGAAACAGCTGAACTGATGAGGCATTTTCCAAAGGAGAACAATTAAAAGTCGGGGTGAGATTTTTCATGGAAAGAGGCAAGACAGAGAGATGATATGTTAGGACAGGATGCAAGAAAATCGGCTGGATTTTCACTTGAAGCAGGGAGAGACTTAGAACACTAAAAGCAATGCTTGTGTTCTCCCTAGTGAATAGCCCAATAGCCTGAATATTCTTGAGTGAGCACGTATTAAATATTCTTTGGATCTGACACAACTCTAGGGAGTCACAGTAAATGAACAAGATGCACTGCACCCTCGCTTGCAGTTAGTTATAAGACTTATGACCTAGCATTCACTCAAAACAAAACTGAATGCTGAGGGACTTGTTAGTTGAGACGGTGTCATAAAGGAAATAGGGGCGGAAGAACCCTAACACAGAGGAAGCAGCATCAGAGGAGCCAGAGAGGCCCCTCTGAAGAGGTGGCATTCTAAGGATGGAAGATGAAAAAAGGGAAAAGCCAATGGAGACAAGAGTGGTGTGGCCATTCCAGGAAGCTGGGGTTGCATATGCAAAGGCTCTGGAGTACAAAATAGCTTGGAAGCAAGGAACCATACCATCAGCATGATTAAAAGGGAGTGGGTAAAGAGAGAATGGCGTGGTACACGGCTGGAAGGAAGCACAGCATGGATGCTGCTACAAGGTCAACGGGACACCATCAGCACAGGAGTGACATATCTCAGCCCAGACTTTGTCATTACCAATGCTACCCTGACCGGAGAAAGACTTCAAAAGCAAGGCAGGATATGGCAACGCCCTGGGCCAAACCAGAGCAGCCAAGCTGAAAAGTGGACAAAGTCACACAGTTCAGATGTACAGCCAAGAGAAGGCACTACAGAACCACCCGTGGAGGTGAAAGCAGAGAAAGACTCGGATGCTTTTCATCAAGTGACTACCTGTGAGTTGTTTGGGTTTCTTTCCTCAAAAGATACAATTTCACATGAATAAGGACAGGCCTATAATCCCAGCTCCTCGAGTCATAGGGACAAAAGGATCAGAAGTTCACGGCCATCTTTGGCTAAAAAGCAAACAAGCTCAAAGCCAACTTGAACAATTGGTCCACTGCACGGTTTACAACATTTCCAAAACCTAGCTTAAGACATAAAACAGTGTGCCCAGGAAGAGATCTCTGAGGATTCACCCTCAGAACAAACTATATCACTTATTTTGAATGCCATATTCAAACGGCAACAGCATTACATGACTAATACATATTTAAATAAGCCTCTTTCTGAGCTACTCATTCCTAATTATCTGAGTGTTACTAACACTACTTTCCAAAAAGTTAGTACATCATTATCACCTCTAAATTACTCCTTGGGAATGGGAGGAGAGGAGGGAAGTGAAATTGTGGTTGGTATGTAAAATAAAATAAAGAAAAATTGCAAAAACGACAGCGACAGAGAGACAGACAGAGACACACATACATACACACAGTGAGAGAGAGAATGAGAGGGGGGGGGAGGGAGAGAGCAAGGGAGAAGGAGGGGGCCAAAGGAGAAGAGGGAAGAGAGAAGGAATGGAGAAGGGAGAAGGGGAGGAGAGGGAATCTCTCACATGTGCTCAGTAGTGGCCCTCTTTGATACTGGCTAGTGCCATGCCAAACTAGACAGTAAACAGAGAGAAATCATAGTAATCTATTTGGAATGGGATATTATCTTTTTTTTTCTCCAAGCTGCCAGTTGTAACCCTTTTTATATGCATTTTGAGGATTTGGCTTAAAACAGATACTATATTTTAGGTGATATATCATAAAGACTCCCTTTAAGAGAAGTTTCCCTGACATTCCAATGAAAATAACACAGCTTTAGTCACTTGCCCTCTATTCCCTCCTACATCTCACACTTACTCTACTCCCTTTTCGGAATAGAAGTCCATTTCCAAATTCTTCAATACTTAATATTAACTCAGTGGCCCATCTGTGACACTCCTCTTAAGAGTGGGTCTTGTCTGGCTTCCTAAGCCACCTGCTTCATTCCATTGCTGAGGCTATAAAAGATTCACACCACTGCCCTTCGCACCCTATTTAATTTAATGCTGCAAATTCACTTCTCAACACCCTGAGCTGTTTATTCTAATTTGGCCTGCTATCACCTGCAATGACCCAACTTGATCTTTATCTGTGCCACCCACAATGCATTTTATTACAGGGTCTGGGTTTCTGCAAGAGATGAAGAATGCCCAGAGCTCTGCCAGCAGGAAAGCTATCACTAAGTCAGTCTTCTTCAGGAATCTTCCACCACTGGCATGCGCTTCCCCTGTACAGATTCATTCCCATTCCAGACATAAGGTTCCCCGTTTATCAAAGAGGCTCCACACTCAACAAACACAGCACAGCATAAACATACGCCTAAACCCACAGTCTACTTGCCACTTGAGTCCAAGGGTGTTCTTTGAAATCCTGCCATTCCATCGTGTTATACAATGTATGAAATCTACGATGCTCGACCTTTTGAAAACCATGTCACTCAACATTTCTCTCTGCACTATGCAATGACTCTCTTGATACTCCTTTTTAAATCATTGACCTGGCCCATAATCCAATTAGATGTCACCTGTGACTGTGACATTTGGAAGATGAACATATACACGCATGCACTCTGGTCTTCACCTAGCGTCTCAGTAAAACCTATTTCTAAGCAGAATCAACCCAAAGAGCCTCTAACTATTGATTACTGTGGTAAACTACTATATCATCCTTGAAACTCTGTCCTACCTCACTTGTCTAGATGTAGAAGTGCCATTTGCACCTACACTTGCTCATATCTTTCCTCCATCAACTCAGAATCTTCCACACGAGCTCTCAGATCAACTTGTCAGCACAAGGAGCATGTCTACAGCCATCACTCATTAAGCAGACCTCTCCAGGATTCCTGACTCCCTCGGCAAAGTTCTGGGAAGCATCTTGCCGAGGATGAGTGAGGCAGAGAGTGGTACTGAGAGAGAATACTCACTGAGTGGCTTGAGGATGCTGCTGCTGGACTCATCGGCGTTTTCCACATCAGATTTGTCTGAGTAGTTCTCAGAGATTCTTTCCTTTTCCTTCTTTTCCTTGTGCCCTGCCTTTCTCTTGTGACGTCTCCTTCTCCGGTAACTCTTGGGCACGTGGACCCCAATGTAGATGGTGTGGTGGCCTAAGGAAAAGTAGGCAAGTCAACAGTCAATTCAATTCATGATGTCTCTACATATAAATCACACAAGAAACACAAGCCAGATACATCTATGAACATGGCATTATCACTCAGTATTAGGCTAACACAAAGAACTGAAATCTTGAAACATAGAATTCCTTTTCAAATTTCGGCTATGGTATAATTCCACCCATTGGCTGGTGTTTGGTTCTATCCTCACAGGCATAGGGTTTAGGACACAGGTGTAGGGAAAATCAAAAAATACCAACTAGAAACCAAGAATTCTTGATTCCATTCACATATCTGAAATCTGTTATCTATGTCACCTTCTCTGAACTTCTGTTTGGTTGGTTTTTGGTTTTGTTTATGAGACAGGGTCCCATGTAGCCTTGGCTGACCTTAACTTGCTATGGAACAGAGGATGACCTTGAACTTCTGGACATACTGCCTACATTTCCCAAGTTCTAAGATTCCAGGCATGCACAATCATGCCGGTTTTTTTTTTCTGATAGAATCCAGAGCTTCACATACCCTTGACAAATACTGTACCGATGAGCTGAACCACAAGCCCCTTAACTCTTGGAGCCTCAGCCTCATCCTTTTATACCACGAAAGTCTTACGCTGGATAACCCCTAAAGGTCTGCTCTACCCTAGTTTTTCATGACCTGTGGTTATATCGACTAGAATGAAGGGAGAGAAGCCAGTGAGCTTTAAAAATAAAAAACAAAAGTTGAGGAAGTCATTCTACTAGGGATATGGTTTTTATACCATAACATTAGCAGAACAGAGACTGAGAACTGGGACAAACTGAGACATACTTGGAGAGGTTTTAGAAGTACTCAAATGTTCACATTAGGAAACGCTAAAACGAATGTCAGCCACGGTGCCATTCTCATTCCTCTTTTTTCGTTTCCAGAAGTTTCTAAAAAAACTGGTTGTTGGGATGATAAAAATAAGACTCATCCCAGCAAAAACTGCCGTGAAGAGAAGGGCATGAGAAAAACAGACCTGACTGCTTCCAGGCATCCGGAGGGAAGGCACTTCGACACTGACAAGCAGTATCATTTTCCCAAATCTGATAAGATAAAAAAGGAACTTAAAGTTCCACATCTTTTTTTTTTATTGAAAAACTTTGACTTTCACTTTATATACAGTTTAACTTCTGAGTGTGGGAATCACCATTTCGGAAGGAATTTGAACACTCTTTTATTGCAAATTAGATTAGGTAATCTCATCTAAGTGTTTCATTTCCCATTTCTAGAATTATTCTTTGATGGTACTTCACAGTTCCAGAGATAATATCACATACCGCCATGTAACTCAGCCTCCTGAGTATCAATGGCTGTGAACTACTTTCCATGGAACTCACCAGGCACCCCTAAAAACACCATAACTCATGAGATTTTCCTTCAATTGACAGCTTAAATGAAACATGTGCTTCTTCGAGAAAAAGCCTCCAACTATAGAAGAGAGAACTCTCAGGGGTCGTGTGTCACAGAAAACTCCTGATGCTTGGAAAAAAGCAAGAGCATCTTCGCCCAAAGCAGAACTCCCCCCAACAACCAGCAACTTGTTACTACAAAGCACAGGGAACAATCTGCCCTCAAAAGTGTGCCAATGAGAAATCTATCACGTCTAACCATTTCCAAGTGAATTGTTCTCATGGGAAAGCTATATTATACTAGGAAATAGGAAATGTCTTCGAAACAATGGGAATTAAGAAACAGTGTCAATTGTTTCCTGTGTTCCCCTTACTAAGGGAGTCTTTGCAGGTTTATCTCAAGTCTCAACAATACAAAATAAAAGAACCCTATGGAAACGCCTCATACCACACACACACACACACACACACACAGGCGTGCGCGCACATACACACACACCACATACGCAAACACATATACACACATATGTGCATGTACACACACCACACACAGAGAGTAGGGGGGTTCAAAATACTAAAATATCGCAGTAAATGTATTCTGCACATTATTAAGTAATAGGCACAAGAAAATGGTAATTAAGGTATATTAGCCATGCCAAAATGATACAATAAGATTTACTATATGAACTCAAGTCTGTGTAGTACATTTGGTCAAGTCATTTAAAAGGTAAGCCTATATGGCTGACAGGATTTAACAGTAAGATTTCTGACTATAAAGTATTGTTTTCAAACTAATGAAAAAGTTACAGTGATTCAGACAGACAGCCTTCGAGCTCTGCAGAGGGATGTGCCTTTGTTTGAGAGCCTACTTAGATTTGTCATGACCACAAACATGGAACCATTCTTCTCATTTGCTGACTGTAGCACTGTCCCTGTGGCACATCCAGCTAGCCCGCATTTCTCAATCCCCCCACACCTTCCCTGGCCTGCCCACAGATAAGGATGCCTTCAGATCTGACGCTGCACTTCTGAGTTCTGCAGCAACCAAGAGGAAATGGGTCTTCCTTTATCGACGTCACAAACATCAGGCATTTTTATTAGTTTATCACGGTGTAATCTGCAAACTGTAAAACTTACCCTTCTTAAGACTATAACTCCATGATTTTATGTAAAGTTGCACAAACATCACCATCATCCAATTTTAGAACCTTTCTACCAATCCACAGCAATCTCTCAGGGCCATCTGCAGCCAAGCTCAGTTCCCTATGGCATCGCATACACCCACTCTTCAACGTTCTGTATACTCTTGGTACTAGCATCTATGGAGCCATGATCCTCTTGTTCTCACATGGCTATGAGCCTTGTGAGGATCCTTACATGGTAAGATAGAATATTCCCAGTGAGGAAGATGCTGCCTCCCAAGAAATGCCCAAGGAATCAAGTTCCTGAGCTGAGCTCAGCATCTTCCTCCTCCTCCTCCTCCTCCTCCTCCTCCTCTTCCTCTCCCTCTTTCTCACACATCTTACTGGAACGTAAATCTTCCCCTTTGCTCTTGTGTTTACATGAATGAAAAGAAATGTGACTCCGGTTAAGGTGGATCATTGGGATCTTGGAGACAGTGATTGTTACTTCATTGATTATTTATAGTCTGTCTCTACTTCAACTTCGTTGCCCATGAAAGGAGGCAAACAAGATAGTCTTGTGTTGGAGGACGTGGTGAAATGGGCATGCTTTTACATAGGGAAGATCAAATATTTAATAAACTATATTGCCAAATCCCCAAAAGTAGCGTGAGTTGAGACAGAAGTGTTCTCACTGCCCCCACAAAACTCCTATCTGTATGATGAACAGCAATGGAATTACTGCTGGAAAGTCTATTGTTGGCGAGAATATCACTGGTGGATATCAGTGTTTATTTTCATTAAAGTATCTTTATATGTCTCAGAGATATGTCATGACGATTGATGTGAGCTCTTAGAGAAGCTACAAAGGTGGAGGGTGTAGCTATTGTTCTCCATGTAAAAAGAAAAGGAGGAACTTGTCAGAGAAGCTTTCAGACCCAAGAATCTACAAAACAGTATGATGTTTGAAGAACATGGGATCATTACTAATTTATTATAAGGAAATTTTGAGGCTTAAAAACCTTCTCTGCCATCAGTTTCATAAAAATTGCTTCAAAGAATAAAGGGGAAATAAAGAATAAAACTTTCAAATTTTGTTTTCACTTTAATGTAAAGCCTTAATTCAGAAAGAAGGTACAACTGTTAAACATATTAAAATAAAGCATACATTTATTATTCTAATCAGATCAATAGAGTAAAAGCCCTGGAGCCTACATTTGACAGCGTTCATTTAGGTGGATAGTCATAGGGCATCGTGTCTACAATCTGGCAGGAATATCAGCATGGTGTGTTCAAATAAATACCCTACATGCCTCTCTCTGACAGATGGTGGGAGTTCCCAACACATTCCAAGTGTCTCGAGAATACTTCACAAACCACACTACAGCCAGGACTTCTGGGAAGAAAACACTGCTCTGCTGGTTACCTCTGAATGTCAGAACTGTCACTATGGGTCTTGTTTCTTTTCATCATTACCTGTTCTACCCTAGTTAAAAACAGGAAGCTCTGTGTGGCAGTTGCCCCCAGGTCTCCCAATTCCTGAGAAATATCTCACCTAACTGTAAACTTCTGATTATGGCTACAATGTTTTCAGGGCAGACAGGCAACCCTTACACTTAGTAACTCTGTAGACTTTCAAGTTAAGATGGCTTTCACAGATACTACTTCACTAGGATGATTCAGAAGTTGGAAGAATCAAACAATCTCTCAAGCCAGAAAGTAAAAATTCACCAGCCAAATTAAAACTTCTATGGATGACTTGACAGTTAACAACCTATATCTCCATATGCGTGATGGAAGGATCAGCTCCTGCCTGAGAAACATGCTGCACTGTATTATGCAACAGATGTAACAGACATCCTCCAAAAACTTGTAAGCATGTTCATCACTGCTGCACATTTCTCGGGCACTGTCTGTGATCCTGCTACTAACCTCAGATACAGGTGAAGAAACCAAGTTTGAGGAGTTGGGTTGTTGAAACCAATAAGCAAATGCTCTCTTCAGAAAATCCCACACAAGTATTTCCAAGGCATCCATGTCAGTATGAGATGCGTGCCAGCTTTGATAGGATTTCTAAAAATATACTTTCACAGTGTTGAGAAGGGGTCTTGCTGGGAAAGGCATGGCTACATGTGCCTATAACCACCCACTAAGGGGTAGTAGGACTAATTGAAACAGGATTGTGGTGACTGCTGGTCAGCCAGCCTAGCTAAAAACTGGCATACCCCAGGTTCATGAAGAGGCCCTGTAAGGTAGAAAGAAATAAAGCTAGATAGCAAACATCCCTCTCTGGCCTCAGTGTGCATATTCTCTCTCTCTCTCTCTCTCTCTCTCTCTCTCTCTCTCTCTCTCTCTCTCTCTCTCTCTCTCTCTCTCTCTCTCTCTCTCTCTCCCCCTCTCTGTCTCTCACACACACACATACACATAACACATACACACGAGTGTGAACATGCACCACACACACACTACGCAGCACACATACAAAACTAAAACACACATG